GGAGACCGTTGGTAGCCATAAATCTGCCAATGAGTGTCAAAGTAGATGAGAATTTGTTGTTTGACCAACTATAAAGGCCATTGCTATGGAGAAGGTCAATGAGTTCGGCTTCTCTTATGAAGTTATTTAAATGTCTCATGCCTCTGATGACTTTTCACCTAGATTTTTCATGTGCCCACATGGAATATTGAAGTTGCCGGGCAAAAGCCAGTTCTCTCTGCAGAGGCAAGTTAGGTCCTGTAATTCCTACCAAAATATGGGTCTTTCTTGGTATCTGCAGGAGCATAGATCCTTGTCCAAAAACTGTAACCGTCTACCATAGTAATATGTGTGGTTAGGGTTAAAGACCTTTGGCATTCGAAGATGGTCAGAGTTGGATCATTCCACATCATTAAGATCCCCCCGATGTTCTGGAGGCATCCAAAGATGTCCAATCAATATTTTTAGCACTCCAAACGAATTTACAACCCAATGATCAACAAAATTCAATTTTGTTTCTTGAATAATGATCATAGTGGGATTGCAGTTGAGGAGTTGAGCCGGGATCACTTCTGCCAGTCTCCCAAGCCTTTGACATTCCAAGAGACCATTGTTGAGGGGAAGGAAAGAGATAACAGAAGTTACACAGGTATACTTGAAAAGTGGCAATTTGATAGCCTTTCCACTCAATATTGATGGGAGCCACTTATCAGCCGATTTAGGATTTAGGGTAGCCCAAGAAATTTTAGAAATTTCGGATGGGAAGGAGAATAAAATGCATATGGGCATCATCTTGTTAGATGGAGTAATATTCTCTATCCACTTGTCCAAAAAGTCCTTGGACTACATTCCATGTTGGACAAAAACAAGGCATTTCTTGCAAAATGATAATCACGATACAACCAAGAAAAAAAAAATGTTGTGGAGGAACTTAAAGAGAAAAGTACGGATCGACTTACTTAAATTGGGCTATGTTGTCAAAGGTCCTTGGAAAAACATTGTAAAACAATAAAGCCTTATTACCAATTGAATTGGTCACTAAGTTGGTGATAGAATCAATATACTTTTCTAGACCGATCCTTTGGTGAATAGCTTCCCCTTGGCTTCTCACTTACCCCCAAGGTTTCTCTCTGTAAAGAGGCCACGGTTAAGGAAGTTCCGAACACCACCAAAAGTTTTTGGGTCCTTAGACTTTGGAGGAACTTGAAGGATGTAGAGGCTTTAAAGTGGGCAGAACTCAACCTTGACCTTGACCTGATTATAATCACACAACTTGAGGATACTTAGATATGGCCTCTAATTCTAATGGTCACTTCTCTACAAAACCATTTATTTTAGATATGGGAGATACCACTTGCCTTATGTAGACATCTTTGGCATATGGAAGGGTACCAAAGAAAAAAATAAATTCCTATGGGAAATTTGGCACTAGAGCCATCATCAACACCAAAGATGTCCTTCAAAGGTGTATACCCTACTTGGCTTTATCACCTGTATGGTGTTCTTTGTGTAAGGCTGATGATGAATCCCGAACCGTATCCTTACTCAGTGTTCATTTGCACGGAAGTTTGGACAAAAACTTGTGATTCCTTTGAATGGTATTTGGCTATTCCTAGAGACGTGAAGGATCTTCTCATCATTGTTCTGTTGGGGCATCCTTTCATGAATACCAAGGCTTTGTTATGGTTAAACATCACTCAGCCCTTCTTTTGGGTTCTTTCAAAAGAAAGAAACCAATGAGTTTCTTTTTTGGAAAAAGAGTAAGAAGTGTACTCTGGTCTTGTCATCTATTATACTATTTCTTGGTGTATAATGACTAATCTCTTTGCTTCATATGCTTATGCTTCTGTGATGACCAATTGGGAAAGCTTTTTGCAACCTTCATGGATTATCCATCCTTTTTGTAAGTTCCACACATCAATGAAATTGTTTCTAATAAAAAAGAAGCTGCACAAATGAAATTTCTATTGATAATATTATCTGGGGCGTATGTTTCACCCTTTTCACTAAGTTCTACCACAGGTCCATCTGGGGAAAGAACTTTATATGATCCTATGTCTTCACTCTTCATTCACTTTCTCAGCTTCCACTTCAACTGCCATAATTTTTTTCCTACAATATGAGATTGGATCTCAAGAAAGGCACCATGAACTTCTTACAGACATCCACAAATTTCTTCTCAGAACCTCATCATCAGAAGATATAAAAGTTTCATCCATCCACTTAAGAAACTTCTGCAATGAAGTTTATTCTTTCAAACGACACCACTCTATGGAACAAAGTTGAGTTCTCATCACCCACTATTAACTATCTAAGTTCGCGCTTCAAAGAGATTCCATACAATCAAAATCTTCCGGTGGAAAATATATCAATACAATCTAAACATTCACAAAGCATCCCATAGCCACACTAATCCAGATTCTCATTTCCCACGAGGCAAAAAGAACACCGAAAATACAATCAAAAGACTATAAATTCAGAAACAAAATCGTCGTTTTAAACAAGTGTGTTCATTTTAATCATCAAACTAAGCATAGCCAAACAATTCGCTTACAATATCAGATTCGTCCACTTTTAGGTAAAGAACTAAAAACATTGCCAAAACCCAACAAACCCTAATGCTGTTTAACTCTGAAATTAACGGCATACACCCCAAATACAAGACAGAAAAACGATGCTTGGGGATACAAAAAAAAATAAAAAAGGGAGAGAAGGAGACCTGATAACTTCGTTATCTCTCTCGACTTCGCTGACTTCTGCGAAGAAGCTCTTGAGAAGCAAGTCCTCCTCGGCAGTGGAGGTGGACTTATTGGCCTCACCCATAAAAAGTTGGGTGGTGTTTCAGTTTCACTCGAGTCGGAGACTCCAAATTGATCCTCTATTTGCCGCAAACTGAAGTTATCCGATCAAACACCCGGCTGAAGCATAGAAGCTGTGCCGTTGAAGAAGGGGGAAGGGATCGATTGTGAAAATTTCGGAAGATCCGATACCCGAAATCACAATCAAACCGGTTCAGACAATTTAGGTTTAGGGTTAAAGAACATAAGGATTAGAAAGCAACAGAAATGTCCACTCTCTATTTCAATTTTTTCGAGAATTCTTTCTCGATATATAATTAAAATATTGGTTTCAAATAAATCTTTAATTAACAATCATTATCTAATATAATTTCTTCCAAAAAAAATATATATAATATTTTAATAAATTTGATAATATATCTTAAACAATAATATAATATAATATAATATATTTAAAAAATTAAACAAAAAAAATTATAGAATTAAATAAATATAATATAATTAGTTATGTCTAACTCAATTTATAAAATTTTCATTTATTTGATTCCAATCCAACCAAAATCGTGACTGAATTGATCGAATTTTTTGAATAATCTTATTCTTGTGAAAGAAGTCTGATCTTCCTGTTTAAATATTCAAATCCTAATCAACGTTCACAAATTTGAGTTGAGTTCACAATCGTAACTCTAATATCAAAATACGTTGATGTTGTAGGTTAGGAAGCTAGAACGGAATGTTAAATTTGAGTTCTTCATCTACACCAAAACACTGATCGAGTCTTTGTGAGTATTTCAAATAAATCGTTAGTAGTTGACGCCCGAGATGAAACTGGTCACAAGCTACCTCCAAATCGAGTTTTTGTGAGTTCATTTCAAATAAATCGAACTCGTTCATTCTAAATGTGAGCTAAGAAGGTAAGTGATATAATTTTTGAAGATGATCTCATTCTAATATTCAAATTCAACCCTATGGATATGGCTAGTTGACTATTGGAGGTTGTGAGCTCATCTCTTTAAGCAAGTCAAAGATATAAATTCTAGTCTATAATAAAAGGATTACACAAATTTACTAAAATGCCCTTCGATTAAAGGTTCCCATCGTTTTGTCCCACAGCTCTAAGCTAAACTCCTAGGTCGGTCGTTTGTTTCATGAGTTGGGAATGGTCAGTGCAGTGAGATTTATGGAACTAATCGTGCTAGGTCGACTGTTGAGCCCACTCTAGCTCAGCCTGTAACGACCCAAGCCCACCGCTAGCAGATATGGTTTTCTTTGAGCTTTCGGGCTTCCCCTCAAAGCTTTAAAACGTGTCTGTTAGGAGAAGGTTTCCATACTATACGAGTGTTTTGTTTTCCTCCCCAACCAATGTGGGACATCACAATACCACACCGCCTGGAGTACAAGTCACTAGAAAATCAAGCTATTATAGCGAGCGGCTAGAGATGTATGGAGTTGAGGAGCAAAGCTGTAGATAAGATCGAAGAAGATGCCAGACTCTCGATATAAAATGGCTATTCCTCATAATTGATCCTAGCGGAACCATGACAATTAAGATCTCAAGACACAGCAACACGGATGATATAAGAAATAATAGACTTACATCATGATATCTTTTTCTTCTTCTTCTTCATTCTAATTCCAACGCGGCGACCTACCCTTTCAAGACTTCATTTTTCCACCTCATTTATCATTATAATACTTCTTGACTTTTGAACTTCCATTAACTTCTTTCTCTCCCCATTTGAAAAGGTCTTCTCAATTACTCGAGAAATTATTTGAGGCGGTCGACCCAATCTGACTTACAATTTTATAACACGATATTATTTTTAGAAAACACGTAGATTCGGGATCCAATTGCTAGTTAGAAATATAAGCCTATGTCCAATTGCTAGTTAATTAGTTTACATGAAATCGTTATCAGGGTCGATAAATTTGGACAAATTATTCAATCAGACTATCGGTATATGGCTACTTCTTTATAACCGTTAGATAGAAATCTAAAAATACGTTTGTCATCTAATCATCGTTAAATACAAAAAATGAAGCACGTTGACAATTTCTATCCTCCACCAATCAACTACATTTTTTTCGGTTCGGTTGACTCGAATTTAAGAGGGTAAACTCCCCAACCTCCTTCAGTCACATCTCCATTTCATTATAAAACCCTCATAACCCATGGCAGCTTCAAGCTCACAAAACAGCAAACCTTTGTTGAGAGGTTCATCCATGGCGGTTGAGGTTCCTTCAGACTTTCTATGCCCGATATCTCTACAAATCATGCGAGACCCCGTGACAATCTCGACCGGAATCACGTACGATAGAGAGAGCATAGAGAAATGGCTGTCATCCTACAAAAACCGACATGTCGTTGTCCCGAGCTGCCCCGTGACAAAGCTACCACTGAGCGAGTTGGATTTGACGCCAAACCATACGCTCCGTCGACTGATTCAAGGGTGGTGCAGTCTCAACGCGGGCGACGGGGTGGAGCCGATCCCAACCCCTAAAGGGGAGGTTGATAGAGGGCAGGTTGTGAAGCTTGTTAAGGAGGCAATGAGATGTGGGAGCTCAAGGCTTGAGTGCTTAAAGAGATTGAAAGCTATTGTGGTTGAAAATGAGAGGAACAAATTCTACTTGCAGGCAAGCTTACATCCTCACAACAACTCCATCTTTACGTGTTCACCTCGGTTGGAGTGGAGAACGAAACATTCTTTATAAGGGTGTAGAGACCTCTCCGACACATTTTAAAAACTTTGAGGGGAAGCCCGAAAGGAAAATTTTAGTTTATTTGAACCCAACTCAATTCAAACAGTTCATAAACTAATCAATCGCTTGTTCGTCGGTTTGAGTTGATCGAGTTTTTCAAGTTATCGAATTTTTTCAGTATTCTTATAGAAAATTGCTACGTGAATTGATTTTCAAATGATTTCACAAAAAATTACTTTCAAACTCGAGACTTGTTCTTATTATTTATCGTTGGTGATAATGTAGGAGGTCGAGTCGATGGAGTTCTTAACTTCCGTCTTAAACAACAATGATGAATCCATGATAGAAGAAGCCATAGAAATCCTTTCAAACACCAACTCACCCACCACTCTCCTCAAACACCTACTAACCCAAAACCCTAATCTAATCCAAACCCTAATCTCCATAATCACCATAACCAAATCCTCCATCTCAAGCGCCGCCGCCATAGCCTTCCTCAGCTCCCTCTACACCATTTCCGACCAAACCCACAAAACCTTCACACAAGACACTCTCTTCATCCACCTCACACGAGCCTTATCCGACCAAATCGCCACCAACCCATCTCTCCAAATCCTCCTCCACTTGGCCCCACATGGCCGGAATCGCTTCAAAGCCGTCAAACACGGCGCCGTTTTCCACCTCATCCAGCTGCTTTTTGGCTCCTCTATTCCACGTGAGTGTGAGCTGGCCATGGCCACCTTGGACCGCCTTTGTGAATGTGCTGAGGGACGAGTTGAGCTGCTTCGGCACGGCGGCGGGGTTGCCGTGGTGGCTAGGAAGATTCTCCGAGTGTCGAATTTGACGAACGAGAAGGCGGTCAGGATTTTGTACAACGTTTGTAAGAACAACGTTGGGAATTTTCGAGTTTTTGAGGAGATGGTGGAGGTTGGGGCTGTGGGAAAGCTTTGTGCTGTGATTGAAGTTGGTGGGAGCTTGAAGATCATAGAGAGGGTCAAGGTGATTCTTCATTTGATTCAACGTGCTTTCGACGGTTCTAGTAAATGTGTTATCGTAATCCCTCCGAGATTTGATTGAGTTTGAATGTTTAAAAATATGGACCTACATACTTGAATTGCTGGATTTGATCGATTTTAGTTAATATAAAAAATGACTCAGTATTTAGTTGGTGGATCGACTTGGACGATAGTATGTATATTTTCGATCGTGACTAATTCACGAGTGGTGTGTAGATTAATGATGTTTGTTAGGTTTGGATTTCAATTTTGTTCAACCGCCCGGGTGGCCTAAGATTTATTACTTTTATGAATATATATTTAATAACTTAATTTAATGGATTCAATTATTTATAGACGTGACAAAATGAAGTCTTAATATGATATTTATTTGGTTGACGTTGAAAATGGCCCAAAAAAATAAATAAAAAAGAAAAATCTTAAGAGGACTCAATTGTAAAACATTAATAAATTTCACGACGGTTTGTAAAAGGTTCGAGATGACCCGTAAAAATTCTACAAGGGTTTATAGCCTATGTTGGATTAATTCTATCTGAAGTCACTCATTTTATATTGGAGAACTCCAGATATGAACAAGAATTAATCAGATTTTTTCTTCAAGATACTTTAAATCGGGTGATAAGTAGAAATGTCTATTTTACCTGTAGGGACCGGGACCCACTCCAAACGGTTTCTCCATTAGATAAATGGGGTCGGAGACAGGGTTATATTCCTCGTCTCCATTCCCACCGGACTTTTTATATATATATATATATATATATATATACTCTTTTGGTTTGCTAAAAAAATGAAATAGTTAATTTTGAGATTCTCAATTTAATATTTAAATTAATCTATTTTTTTTAATGGTTGAAAGTATGTTATAATAAAATTTGAATTTATAGAAATAATGTTCGAATAATATTATATGTATGTTTGCTAATGAAATACGTGACACGATAGAATTGGATGTAACCTTATTTTTTGGATTACTTAAGTTACTTAGAATTTTCAATTTTTTAAAAATAAAATTCATCTCAACACAATTTTTTATTCTAATTATGTTTTTTTTTGTTGGGTTTTTTAGTTGTTTTCTTTTTGGGCCATGGACCAAGTTTTTGAGTTTTCTTTTTGAACCTCAATTTGTATGAACAAAATCATAAAATAGCTACTCATCGATATTTCTAACATCACGGGTTAACAATAACTTCATCCGAGGTATACAAAGTTATAACTAATAAGTCACACTCCTGAAACTTTAGATATAACATTTTCAATCTCATCAAAAACAAGTTTATAAACATGAGATCTCATCTCAGTTGGAGAGAAGAACGAAACACATTCCTTATATGGGTATGTAAACTTCTCTCTAACAGAAGCATTTAAAAACTGTGTGACTGACGACGATACGTAACAATCCAAAGCAAACAATATCTATTAATGGTGGGTTGACGACAACAACACGTGACACAATATTTACTCGTAACCCTAAATCAGTGAATAACTAAGATATAGACGAACTATAACTATGACAATAATAGATTAAATTACGTATCGTTTACTTGCTACTTTCCCGTCATTTATCTAAATTATACTGAAGTTATAGCTGTATCGATGAACGTTTGCTTGCAAGTTAAGAATCGAAATAGCATGAAGTTGAGATAGAGAGAATATGAAGGTTTTGAGTGGGAATAAAAAGAGAGAAAGAGAACCATATTAATTGGTTGGTCTCCTTTTTTCAAGACATTTGTTTATTGTGGAGATGAAAAAGCAAAGGATTTGAAATTCAAAATGGAAAATTCAAAAAATAAAAAAGGGGTTTATACCAAATTACGTGTCACTCATCGATACGTTGCGTTTTGTTTGCAAAGTCTTGAATTGCCATTTTTGTAAACACAGCACCTTTCCTCAATCTTTTGCAATTCTACCAATTTTTGGATAATGAAATAAAAGTTATTATTGCCTTTTAAATTATTTTTTTTAAAAATAAAAAATAAAAAAAAATAAAAGAATTATTCCATTTTAAAAAAAAATCGATTTTTAATTTGGCAGTTTTCAAGGTTTATTTGTTTACGATCCTCCACTTTTAAAATGTTTGGTTGTGAAACCGATTTGGGTTAGGTTCGTATACCCAAGTCGACTTGTAACGACCCAAATCCACCCACTTTTAAAATGTTTGGTCGGGAACCGATTTGGGTTAGGTTCGTACACCCGAGTCGACTTGTAACGACCCAGATTTACCACTAGCAAATATTGTCCTCTCTAAGCTTTCTCTTTTGGGCTTTAAAACGCGTCTATTAGAGAAGGTTTCCACACCCTTATAAGAGTGTTTTGTTCTCCTCCCCCAACCAATGTGAGACATCACATGACTAAATGCTATTTATACTAAAAGTGAATATTAGTACACTGTTCGATGTCTGGCTTTAACATCATTTGTAATGACCCAAATCCATTACTAGCATATATTGTCATCTTTGAACTTTTCGTTTCGAGCTTTCCCTCAAAGTTTTTAAAATAGTATGGAGAGATTTTCACACTGAATGTTTCGTTCTCCTCTCCAAACAACATAGGATTTCACCGTTTGTCTGTGTATTTTATTAAATCTTAAAAATATTTTTATGATACGAATTACGTTGTTACTTAATTAATTTATAAACTAAATTATTATAAAATACAAAATACAAAGATTAAATATTCTTATGAAATAATAATATATTATTACTTTACAAGGAAGGTGTGACATAAAGTCTTATGAAATAAGCCAAAATAATAATAATAATAATAATAAAAAGAAATTTCTTATAAAAGTGATCACAATTATGATACAACAATTTCTATAAAGGTTAATTACGTAAGGTATCTCTTTTAAAAGTTGCCTTTTAGCATTCATAAAGTTTAATACTAATTAATTTTATATATAATCACGACAAATAGTTAATAATAGAACGAGTATTTCAAAACATGCAGTAGGTGGATCTTATAGCTGAAATCGAAAAATACAAACACGTGCAACTATCTTTCATGTTTATAGTCTCAAATTTCATTTTCAGGTCGGTTTCGATGCATAAAACTTCTCTATACACGTCTCGTACACATGCACGTGAACCCAATAAATGGATACCTTTTCCATATGAAGATGCACGACATACATTATTTACGAGACTAACTATGAGATCCACATCGGTTGGTGAGGAGAACAAAACATTCTTTATAAATGTGAATACTTCTCCCTAGCAGATACATTTTAAAAACCCGAAAAGAAAAGTTTAAAGAGGATAATATGTGCTGACTATGGAGTTGGGTTACACTAACATACATGTTACAAAGGAATACTTGTATGGGTGGATTCATGAATCAAATTTGTTCGAGAAAATAATAATAAAATATGTAATGGTTTATAAATAAAGTAAAGTTTTAAATTAAATTATTTTTTTAAAAGCTTTAGAATTATGAATATGATACTCATAAATGGAGAATTACAGATGTCAGCAAGCAATAAATCTTAAATACCACTTCTTAAAAAAAAATAATAATAATAATTAATTTTCCAATTATTTTGTTTTATTTTTAAAATTTATTGTGTGATTTTTCTACTTTGGGATGATTCTCAAATGAGTGGGTATCATCCCTAAGTTGGATTCTTGCTCTTTTTATCTCCAAAAATTTCACATGTTTTTTATTTTTTATTTTTTATAAATAGTTCAAAATATAATTATTTATTTATTTATTTTTAAATTATATATATGTTATGGGTAAAATTTTCAAGTTAGCCAATGCATGGTAACCAGTATTCGAGGTTGAGGTGCTACCCCAAATAACTCTGTACCATGTAGGGGACAACATGGTGAGTGCTAGCCTACTTGTCATCTATGAGGGTTAGCTGACGAACCCATCTCACATGCAATGAAGTCGCTTAAGGTTGTCTCGATATACGCTAGTTCCATTGGTTACCTGCATGATCAACACCCTCTCACAGAACGGATCCTCCGCGTAAGGTAACCAATAACTACCCTCATGATCTATGCCTAACCAGAGGATGGGTCCATTATTTAGTCACGCATCCCTAACTAGCCTCATGCTTAGTGTGACAGTGTACCAGAGTGGCGAGGGAAGTGAAAGCCCCTCATACACTATATTGGTTGCTATCGACTTAGGAGGCTACCTTTGTTTTCCACAGTTTCTGTGGTGGTTTTCTAGGTCTCTAGGGAGGTTTGATGATCTTGATAAGTTTTCATGTTTTCTATTTTTTCAATTTTGACTCCTTGAGTCTGGATCAATGAAGAGTCCTAGGGGTCTTACCCTTTAATCATCACGCGCCTACACACGCGCAAGGAGGTTTTGCACGCGTTGTGGGTGGATTAGGCACGCTCTTAGCCTGCGACGTATCAAATTCTGATTCATGAATGCATCTCCGACGGTGAGAGTTCAAATCTTAAGCGCACTTGATTTTCCACAAATCACTTGTTGTCCAACCGCGCACCATTATCCAATGCTTGACACGTGTCTCCGCCTTCTTTAGTCGCGTACCACTGATCACTATCCGACACTTCATTTTTTCATAGATTCAACCTATTTTCTTATGATTTTCATAACTTTTCCTACATATCTCGAATCAACTTAGTTTCTCAATAAAAAAATACTAAAAATTTAGAACTTAGTTCGGAGTGAAACTCTCACATTTGAATGAAAATTAAAATCAAGAACTTAGATACATATTTTCGATCTTCTTCGCTTCTCGATAGAATTGAGTGATTCAGAAGTCTAGAATGGATATACCTAACCTACTGAGCATTTATTGTAGCTCAAGAAATTGTGGCGAAAATTCGGGTCCAAACTATATCTTACTTTTCTCTCTCGAAAAACCCTAAACTCCGTTCCTTTTCTTTCCTCTCGAACCAAATCAACAGTAAAATTAGCTACAATTATTTGGGAAAAACATCCTTAAAACTGGTTACTTATCGAGGAATCCTATGAAATGGAATCTTGTTATCGCAACCAAGTGTTGGAAAAGAAGAAAACCACTCAATGAGCCTAGTTTACCAAAGCATCTCTTCTCCCCTTCCCTACCATATCACCAAATCC